TCAATATACCAGGAACATGTTGAACTTTCGAACGTGTTTACGCGTTCGTAGCATCCTGCCATGTGCTGGACGTTTTTACGCGTTCATAGATTCCTACGGGTTAACGAGAAAATCCGGTGAGCAGTTGACAGCGCAGCGAGAATGGAAGATTAAGATCTCGATCGCGTCATTGAACGGCAGGTAGATGATGAAAAACGTCATCGATTCATCGACGATGTCATTGAACAAAAGGTACGACGACAGGAGCGTGTCCTTCGGTCTAATGTCTCCGGGGAACAACGACGGGCCGTATTCAGAGCTTTTGTTTCGTGGTTACGGAGCATGGTTACGAACAAAGGGACTCCGCGGTGCGATCGAGTCTGGCCCTTTTGCAGCCACCTCGACACACCGTAGATTTTTTTCGAGTACTTTTGGTCTACCTCATTGTTCCGATTTAAATAAAAAAAATTCTTGGAACTTCTTCTCTCCGATGTTCTACGATCCACCGTTGTCCTCGTGCATTAACCCCTGCGCGAACGATTTTCGTTCTTGCGCGATTACGTTCTTACAAATTTGTTTTATACTCGTTATACCTCGAGTGGAATAGATTGAATATCCGTGCGAAAATTAGAGGATCGATCAGTTCGCGTTCGGAAACAATCGTACGCGAGAAAGGAACTCGAATCGATAGACTCGGGTCGTATTCTCTCGTAAGAAACTACTGAATTCGATCGCGTCGAGGTCTACGAAGAAAAGTATGTACACGGTTCGAATGAAACGCGGGTTACGTGGCTGTAACGCGATCTTTCGGTTCGTTATCGAGTACGCTCCCGTTGCTAGACGGTCTCGTTACACCCTGTACACCTTCCGACGAGTTCGCCTCGACGTTGCCCAGGTCGCTCGGTTTTTCTACGTCGGCTATTAGTTTTTGGGTCAAGGATGCTGGAGCCGCGCAGTCTGGAAACTCGTGTTCGCGAGAGGGAGAGAGAGGGAAGCTCGTAAAGGAACGGGGAGAAACCCTCGGGAAAGTCGGGCTTTTCGTAGTCAATGCAAGAGAGGAGACGAATTGCTTGCTCTTCCATGATGCAGCAATAATTGAAAGCCCAGTCGCTGACGAAGAAAAGGAGGCTCTCCCTCTTTTTTTTTCAACCGGCTAAACAAGTTTCCACGCCTTCGTGAAAATGAACGACGACGACGACTCCGAATCGATCGTTCCCGTTTCAGACTCGAGCCCAGTTTAACCCTTTCATTCGGTTTTTAATAATTTTTTCCACCCGGTGAGTCGCGCAACCGCGAAGATTCGCGCGGCGACGAATAAGCTCCGATTCGGAAAGCTAAGCTTTCACGCGATAGTAAACGTCGAAATGCGATGGAAAAAGCGTAGCCTGTTCGCGAAGCGTGATTGCACGCACACCGCGCGCTTAGCTACGCATGCAAACGAAGGGCGTGCACGCGTACTGGCACGCTCGAACACGCGGCACGCACAATACCACGCACTGTTCGTACGCGCTGGCTGGCAGCTTGTCATGGTCGGACAGCAGGACTAGGGAAACCGGCTGCGCCATACTACCTTCTTTATTCCACCTTCTCTCCCTCGAACGTTGCCTCGCGAGCTTAATTCGAGTCTACCGGCTACCAGCAAAGCGATCCTCGGACGAGTAACGTTGTCCGCGCGAATGATCGGCAAGTTTTCTTACCGATCGTTCAACGATTACCTCGAGTATCGTGGATCGAATCTACCTAGAGCGTCGCGCACAGGTAGCAGTCGATAAAACGAAGAATCCCAGATCGTGAATGTCGAATTCGTAGCGTCGGTTATCGATAATCCGATGGTAGTCGACGAGGCTCAGGGTTCATGGCTCTTCGATGCTGTTCATCGAGTTCGATCGAGTATGCGAGTCGTGTTCGCACTCGCGTCCTCGTCGCCGGAAGTGCTGGCGGTCTCCTACAAAAGTGGCAGTCGTACGTTCTTTCTTGCTCCTTCGGCCTTCCTTCTGCTTTTCGTGTTTCTCGCAGTTTCTCCTTATTTTTCTCCTGTTCGACTCTGACGGGATCGTTCTACCAATGACACCGACGGTACCGATTCAAGGACGAGCAGCGGCGGACAAGAGTTTCCAGCTGCTTCCGTTTTTTTCCTTTCTTAAAGTAATAATTTCAATAACCCACGCAACGCTTCGATACCAGTGGCGCGTTCTAGACCGCCCTATCCAACGCGTCGCGTTAAAAAATGTATTAGAAGTAGGTGTACGAAGTGTCGCACCGGTTGCGACACCATCGCGCTAGGAAACAAAATATCGTTGCACGTGTCGATCGTAAACGAGCCAACAAGTGCCCAAGCGTTAGTCGCATTCTTCTAGTCGATCGTTAATCGCGTTGGCGTTTAATAACGTATCTGGAGTGGAATTAAATCGGTTTCCAGATCGCGTAGCTCGTTAGGAGAATTCCTAATACCTCGTTACCGATCATTAGGGCGTTCGTTGGGCCCTGGATGATTTTATTTTCCACGGGAAACGCTCGCCGAGAAAGGGAGGGTATGCGCGTTCATGGGACACCTTGCGCTCTCGGCACAGCCAACCCCCTGAAACGATATCTGCTATGGGGACGTTATCGATCGGGCAACCCTCTGTTTCCACGGTTTCACGGCAGCCCTTATGCGAGCTCTTACAACCCCATATATCCCGCCAACGATAACTTGTAACGTAGTTACAGTATTTTCTCTCGCGTCTTATGCGCGTTCATCCCGTTCCAGGCATATGAAACTCGATCGAAGCGATGCTCGATATTCCGATCAACGAACGGTCGTTATTGCTTTGCACGTTTCGACACCCTCTAATTATTTCCGAAATTTAGCATTCGTAGGAGAGGATTTTTGCGCGTGCGGTCGTTGACCGTACGCTTTGTATCGCCGATAGTAGCCGACGTTTCGTGACGCGACACGCCCAAACAACACCGGTACATGTTCTTAGTTGTCGTGAATCTACGTAAAAGATTAAGTGACCGCAGGCTACTTAGTCTAGACGGAAACCGCGTTTGAAAATGCTCGACATTCGGGAATTTCTGCTTTTGGTCGTCGTTCTCTGCCTCGTTATCCTTAAAGGATAACTCGTTCAACGTCTCCTCGCAACTTCGTTTCTTCTCTCTCACAATTTCTCAACGATAACTTAGCATTGATCAACGATAACTTAGATCTTTAGTAGAACGTTTTGTCGCGGTGCAATGATCGTGCGGACAGTTTTCCCTACAGGCGACTTGGTACGCAAATTAACATGGAGATTACGAGGCGGACATTTTCCGCTCGTACTCCGGCATATACGTCCAGCCCTTTATAATTGTACGGACCGTCTTTCCGGAGTTATTGTCTTGCTCATATGCATACGCAAGCGAGCGAACGCGCGATAAAAATGCAAACTCTTGCCTCGATCGACGCGATTCAATATGCCGCGTGTGTCTCGTTATTAGCTCGGAAGAACGCGGACCGGTTGATCGGCGCCGATCCGTGTAATTGTATTTATCGCGGAAACGCGCCACGCGAACAATACCAACACCGTGGAAAACCTGGACAATAAGACCACGCCCAAACTCTAGCGAATGTCACGGAGAAGTTCATTGAACGTCACGAGAATCCATAGCATATCGCGTATGGTATCGATCCCTCGTGTTGCTTGGACCTCGACCTTGGTCCTTGGCACTGGCTGGCTGATGCGTCGACCCTTCCTGAAACAGGCTGTAACTAACCTAACCCGTGTCTATGGAGCCATAACTCTATCGTAACTGAACGTTTCTGATCATCTGGAAGAGCAGAGTCACGAAATTCGACATCCACGATCATTTCGGAAGGTCGTGATCCTTCGTAAGAGGGTCTACCTGTTTTCAAGACAACTCGTACATCGTGATCGATTAAGGATAACCTCGACCCCGCCCTTCGGCCGATATTCTTTCGGATAAAAGTATTCGAGTTCGAAGATTTCTCGTCAAAATCTATAAACGGTTACAAAGTCTTCTGTCACGTTACTCGATACTCGCGTGCAAAGAACTTCAGATAAACTTCCCTGTCGGAACTAATCCCTTTTTCATCGAGTGCATTCGATTGCACCAGTTCTTCGGTGAAAATTTTATAATTTCATCGGATACGAGCCGGGAGACGATGACACAAAGCATGAACACAGGGGTTGCTATTTTCGTCTGCATCGTAGGAACACGAACAGGCCGACGCCCTTGCTCGACGATTATGCGATCGACCGTATACCAATGGTTCCACGTTTTGCCTTCCACCCCATGGATTCGTTCCCATTACCGGCGTGGGCGTGCTACAGGGAAACGAGACCGTTCCTCGATAAATAGTCGGCTTGCGAGCAATAAGACTTGCAAATTATCCGGATAGAAAGATAACGAGCCACGCGTTTCGGGAATGGCCCCTCTTGGCGATCGATCGACAATTTCCTATTCGATCGTGTAAACTCGACCTTGGAAATGAAATTTCCTCGAAAACGGAGATCGGGAATTAGCGCCTCTCTCCGTGTATGAAACTCTTTTCGTGTTGCTTGGATAAATCCAGCTTAACGCGCAACTTGTTTCGCCCGATACTCGAATACTGTTACGGTAATAAATTGGGTGCAATTCGAGTTTAATTACTATGAAGATGGAACCGATAAACGATAAGATATTGCGAAGAATACTCGCGAAAAATGGAGCGAGAAAGCAGAAGGTGAATCGTTGGCTAACCAACTCCCGAAGGAATCGAAAACACGCGGGTTATAGTTATTGATCAGAAAGAAGGTTCGAAGGCAACGGGAATAGCAGCTGAGCCACCCTTACGTTTTCCTCGGGTCCTCGGCTGTACACGCACGTGACCGTCGCACCCCATTCATAAGATCCCCCTGCGAATTCGAACGGCACCCTAACGACCGAAGTACAGTTCTTTCCATCAAAGTCTCGACTATGTTTCTTACTTATCGAAAGACTTGTTTCGTCGTTTTCGTAACGATAATTGATCGAACATGTGTTTTGCGTGATTGTTGCAGATCTGTCGAAGAACCGCTTCGCCGAATTGCCGGAAGAGGTGACGGAATTTCCGTTCCTCGAGAAGCTACATCTCTACCACAATGCCATAAGAATAATACCGGAAACGGTGGCGATGCTTCAGTCGCTCAACTACCTCGATCTTAGGTCGGTAACGCGAAGAGAAACGTTAACTCGTCCAGGTCGTTGATGCGGGTCGTTGAAATTAACGAGCTTCCTACTCTGTTTTGTTCATAGTCGGAACCAATTGACGTCTCTACCTCGAGAGATATGCAGGCTACCGTTGCAAACGTTGCTGGTCGCACACAATAGATTAGCATCGTTACCGGACGAATTGGGTAGAATGTCGGCGCTGGCCGAGCTGGACGCAGGCTGCAACGAAATCACGAACCTGCCACCTCGAATGGGCGACCTTGCGAGACTCAGGTCCCTGGACCTGAGGAGCAACATGCTCGTGCACCTGCCTATAGGTGGGTTGCTTCCGAGATAAGAATCTTCGCCCCACAGAGTCATTCACGGAAATCGACCAAACGTTTCTTTATCCGTTGTGTGGGCAATCGAAACTTTCTACGTAACATTCGTAAACCGTTGTTCGCAGAACTGACGTACCTGAGACTCGTGAAGCTGGATATCAGCGGCAACCGAATATCCGTGCTTCCGAACGAGATGAGGAAGATGAAGAGTCTGGTCGATTTTCGACTCTCCGACAATCCTCTGACCTCGCCACCTGCCTCGGTGAGCTCGAACGTTCTTTTCCTCGGCGTAACGCCGACGTAACGCTTGATCACGTTCCTACGTGTTAAAATTGTTCGCAGTTATGCATTCGCGGGCGAACGCACATCTTTAAATATTTGGAGAGACAGGCGGCGAAACACGAGAGAGCGAGAGGAGGCCGCGCGAGAAAAACGCCTCTGGATGTGAGAGGTCACGCGACGTTGGACACAAGGGCCCACAGACGGCACAACGTGGACAGCGGTTACAGCACCAGTGACGGGGTCGACAAACGTTGGTCCCAAGAAATTCACAGCGCGGTTAGTTTCCTCGTCCTTCTTCTAGCCCTGTCCTTTACTCTTCGCTTCGCCTTCTTCTTCTGTTGTTCCTGGCTCTACGATAAGCTTTTTGGCGGGGGTACCTCGTAGATCCTCTCCCTAGGCAACTTTTCGTCCGGTGTAGATACCTTTATTATCCCCGTCCATGAGAACTTCCTTTTTCGCTTCTTCTTTCGGGACTCGCCCAAACAGTTGTATACGATACGTGCAAAATAAATAAACATTTGTTAAACACACGCATCCGAGCAAGCACGCCAAGCACACGGTCGACGATTTCTCGTAGTACCTCCTGGTGGACACGTTTTTGCGCGCAGGTGCACGACGGCGAGATTCGAGGATTGTGGCGTCAAGAATGTTCGCCGCTTTCGATTACTCTGCCTCACGAGACCAGCGTGAACGGATCTTGTAGCGGAACGTCGACGCCTAGTACCATCTCGCCAGGAGAACACGCGTCTCTCGAAGACGAGCTGGGCAAGGTAGGTGTCTCGATTTTCCGTCTTCCGCGTCGCTACGCGTAAGCGGCGCCCAACAAAGTACAATCGAGACGATCGGAGTCGCCGAAACTTACTCGCCTGATACGATGTCTATATTTAGCGAGTGAATAGAAGGCTCTCGACAGCGATATCCGTGTTGTCGCGGGACGCCAAAGAGCTTGGCCGTCGTTCAAGCCTCGTTGAATGACCTTAACCCATTGAAAGAACTAGCTGGCAACGGCTCTCGCGATTAACGCGCGAAACATTCGAGCGACGCGGTTGGAACGCGTTCACCTTTCCCTCGAAAATCTCTCCCTTTCTTTCTTACGTAACTCCGTTGTTGTTGTTATTGTCGCAGGCCATGATTCTGCACGATCAGTTGGAAAAGAGGAGACTGGAGAGGAGCACCTCGGAGAACGGCGGCGACGTCAGAAGATCGATGACCTCTGGTCTTTATCACGCGTCAATTACGCCACCCGGGTAAGCGAGCCGTTAATAAACCGATCAGAGAATTCATCGTGCCGTTGCGTTCTTTGCGCGTGCTTACGAATACGCGTTATTGGCTAAAACCCTAATGCGATTCAGCTCGAAATATGGTCACAACGGCACTATTATCTATGAAAAGAAAGGGCTACCATCGTTTGTTCGTTTCATCGGTTGTTCCGTTCTCTTTCAGTCCTTTAGAATCCGCTCATCTGAATCAAACGTCATCGATATCGACGAACACGCAATCGGTACAACCTATACAAACGTCCACCGCAAACTCTACTTCTCTGTTGAACGGAGATGAAAAGAGGCCGCTGAATCACATTCAAACTTATAGGTATGACAGTCTGACTTCGCGCTCGTGGGAATTCGACGTTTCGTAATCTTGTGGGCAAATTTCCAGAGAGTACAAAGAGGCATTGAGACAACAGAGGGCCAACGAAGGGCCCAGCGTGTACAGGCCTCGGGAACAGGTAACACCGCCAGGCAACGAATCGCAGAACAACGAGACGGACCCGTCTAGCAACAAGGATGGTGTTGGTTTGACCGGCAAGCAAATCTTCAACGAGGAGAACGCGAACAAGAGACCGGTGCAAAAGGTGACACCGTCGCGAATCAACTATCAGAACACGCCTATCATCAACGGTAGTAATAACGAGTACAATAACAAGAACGGAAAGTACATGGAACAGCCGTACAAGAAGCCCAGTTCGCCCATCAAAACTTCCACGAGCATTTTATCCTCGAGTACCAGCCCCGGACATGCGCCTAGACTAGTCAAAACTGCAGTTGGTTACGTGGAAGGTAATAATTACTTGAACGAATAAAAGAAATACCCGTTTATCTTAGATTATAGTACCGAGAGTTTTTATCGTTTATACGATGTTCGTCAGGTAATAAGAGTCCCAGTAAAAACGGCGGAAGTCCAAAGTCACCCAGATCGGTTACGTGGAACAGCAACGTACCAGAAAAATACTCTTTCACCATGAGAAGAGAATTCGAACGCGCCAAGGAGGAAGCTGATTTAATCGAACAGCTTCGAAATGTGAGTATCGATTGTCTGTTCGAGTTGTACCTTTCACGAGAACATGTAGCTAAAGTCGAAATCTCTTTTCAGCATATAGAAACAAGGCTGAAGATGGCTTTACCAGAAGACCTCGCCCCCGCGTTAACCGACGGAGTCGTTTTATGTCATTTGGCGAACCACGTGAGACCTCGATCGGTAGCCAGTATTCACGTCCCTTCGCCAGCCGTGGTAAGTGTTTCCAAACCTGCTACCTTCAACGTTATGTCTTTCGTTTGAAATTACGATAAAGCACGGCGTTCTCTATTTACAGCCCAAGTTAACCATGGCAAGATGCAGGCGTAACGTCGACAATTTTCTCGAGGCGTGTCGGAAGATCGGCGTCGATGAGGTAAGCAACACGAATACTACTATATCCTTCTTTTTAGAGAGCCTTCGTGCTTTATCTCTCAACCGAGCGTACGCTTCGACGCGAAAGGAAATTACTTTTTCGTTTTCCTCTTGTGTTTTTTCAACCATGCTCGATGAGGTTTTTGCGAACGTTCGTGTTCGTTCGTCGTGGAATGTACCACTCGTAAATCGGACGCAGAACTCGAAACGATTCGAGATGGAAAGAATAAAGTTACGTACGATCGTGACTCACGCTTCGACGACAGTCGGTACGTTTGTCCATGAGGTTTCCAACAACTACTAGTCAGTCCCCGATTTCGATTCAGTCGCGAGGGTATTCGTCCTTTTTCAAAATCTTACTGCGAATCGTATACTTGAGGAATCGAGTGAAAAGGAGCAAGGGAGAGCTTTAGTTGCATGCGCCTAGATTCGTGTCTGCTTTTGTGTCGCTCGTTGCTTCGTCCGAACACATCTTCCAAGTGTATTCGTACCTTCTCGTTTTCTCCATCGATTGTGCTCTGCTCTTTTCAACTCTTTTGACGACGAGTTGTAAACTTTTTAAAATGAACTCCTCGCGTCTATCCCCCAAAATGTTACGCAATCACGATAGTGTCCTGTACAGTACTCGAGAACGCGTTAGTTGCTTCTACAGTTTATTCTATCGCGAGCCTACGTTTATACGGATTGAATTTGAAAGAGAGGTCTATGCTTTCCGATGATAGTAGCAGTTGATGTCGAGAAAGGTGTGCAAAGGTGTGCTTTAAAGGGAAAAGTGGGCGACACAAAAGAGGCCAGGACTTTCTGTGTACGAATGAAAAAGAAAAAGAAAACGGAAACGTGTTGAAAACGACCAACGACGTGGTAGAGACTTGGGACTGAGTAGTATCGTTGTTGGTGTTGCAGGAGGTGTTAATGGACGCGGACGCAATCATGGACGTGGGTTACATGGACGCGTATGGGCTGGAGGCTCTGGCGCGTCTCGTCTCCGCTCTTCTCCTTCTCCGTGACGAAGGAGAGAAAGATAACGAAGAATCGGCTGCAGGTTCATCCCATACGATTCAGGATCGCGTTTTGTCCGCGATGCTTTTCGCCACATTCCTATCGTCCCTCGTTCTACTCTATCTTTTCCCCGTTCCCGACTGAAAAGAGCGACGAAGACGAGAACGCACCAGAGTGCGATACGATGGGAACGAACGACGCTCGCAAGAGAAAAACACCATCGAAGATCAGTTAACCACGATATACAAGGACCGATCAAATATAAATTGAAACTCTTTCGTAGCGATCTTAAATTCGATCGATATCGTGTCCATTAACATCTGTCCGTTTCTCTCACCGAATTAGCAATTGTTCTTTCCATTCAGAAGATTATTCTTTGCCTAGGGTTCATTTTACCTATTGTTGTATCCATTTAGTATCCGATCGATATATTTTCAACGCGCTGGAAGTTGATAATATGAAATGATCTTTTCAGTTTTAATTTATTATGATGTACACGTCATCTGTGGGCGATAGGTAAAGCGTTAACGCTTTGACACAAATTTACGAATTGGATACTGAGTCTTCTTCTATCGAGGTACTGTTATACGTAAAAAAACTTGCTATGCGTTTACCTGCATATACGTTTTGCTGCTGTATAAAGAGCCTCGTTTATATTTGATCGATCCCCGTATACATATCGAGGCACGACGAGACTACTCGAAGAGCACGCATTTTCTCACTTTCCCCAATTAACGTTCGATAATTTGTCGGTGTTGCTGGTCGAGTCGTCGAGTCGCTCGATTAAAAAAGAAATTATGCGACGCTCTTCTTCCACTCTTATACGCCATTTAGTACTTCTAGAGCGGCACGATATTTTTTACAAAGTTCCTTTTGTTTTTTGTTTTTCGTTCGCCTCTGCCTTGTCGAGCAAAGAAAAGCGAGTCGAGCGTCGCGTCGATGTTGAAAATCATCGAGTCGTTTTTCAGCAATCGTAAGACACCCGTTTCTTTTCCTGGAGGATCGTTGAGACAGAGCTTTTTGCACTTTCATTCAGCCTGTTCGAGACACGTTAAGTAAGATAATCTCGATGATCGTTCGCATCGAGGTCCTTCGTCGTTGTCAAAAGTGTCTCGGTCTTCCAGCTCGACGTAGTTTTCCGACCTAATAGTTCCTTTTCGTTTGTATTGCTTTGTGTTGGAAGACTAGGACACTTTGAAATTTATTTAACCCCTTAAATAAGCGTTTCTTCGTAAGCTACAGAGGCGCTTTGCTTATGCACAGGCATGCATAGATGGCTGCTCTCGATTACGGGAAGTTTACTCGCAAAAGATATGACTCGCGATAAGATTCTGTTAGATATACTAGCGCTGACGCATTGGAACGATGACAAGAAGTCAAATATCAAAGTTTTTCATCTAATTACAAGGCTGCTGTCCAAACTCAGTATAGCGCTAGTATACCATAAGTCATCTATGCGCGCAAGTGTATGTTAAACGATTTGACTAGAACACGGCTCTAGCTTTACAACAGGGTTGTTTGTTTCTCTGCCTCCGTATTTATGGCGCTTCAAGGTTTATCTTTTCGCGTGTTAAAGAAACGCTTCGAAGCCGACGAACAAAAGTATTTGAATAGTATTTAAGAAGTATCAGAAGGCAGCTTGATCGTATATTTTAGTCCGCTTAGTCGTAGGAATCGCTGTGTAGTTGTGTAAGTTTGTCGAGCGTTTCCTTACTCCTGTTTTTGTATCGTATTGTTTGAGAGCTCGGGCAAACTTCATCCTTGACTCTCTGATCGTTCTCGAGCGACGGAAGAGAACGCGAAATCAAAGAGCGTAATCAAAGCACGCTCGCATATCAAAAACGAATCGCCTGTGTATGTACGTATCTTGAATTTTTCGTTCGAATCGTTATGATCGGAGCGAATCTATCGTCGGGCAGGATTTTACTTGTATTTGATTGAAATCGCAACACAGTCATTCGTGACTACAGTCACAACATTTACGTTCACGAAAGAATTGATCGAAAACATTGATACTTACATAATGCTCGACCTGCCATTTAAGCGTAAGAGGGAAACGAATTTTCTCGTCTAGTATTGGGGCATCGTCTATGATACTGTCGTAGATGGCGGAGTTCAAAGAAAGAAAAAAAAAGCAGACAAAAGAAGAAAAAGAATCATCGCGTAATACCTCGGATGGGTAGTATTTTTTTAACGTTCGACCAATAAAAATCGCCTACGGCTCTTTCAGGATTGATGGGTCTGTGATAGGTAGCCTTCGAGTACTTACAGGATTCGCAAACAAGGTGCTAGAAACGTCTTTTATTTGAAAGAATTCCTATTTTGGTACTTAGCTGTTAAACACGCACATTCGAACATTAAAGAGAACCTCGATTCTCGTATAAGTTATCGATCAAATTGTTTTTCTTGTTTACGAGTTCTCACGAACAGTATTGTGTGTCCCTTCCTGACGAAACTGCGGCAGACAGACATATTTTCTTTCTTATCGTTATTTTCTTTTCTGTCTCTCTATCTTTCTACTTCTCCTCCAAGATAGCAAAAAGAAAGGATGATTTTCGTTAGGAGGGAACGAACATGAAACGAGAGCACTGATACTTCACCGACCAAGCAATTCGGTCGTAGCCTAAGATAATCTGCATATTTTCGTATAATCGTGATTCGTAAAACCAACGTGTGTACAATACGCGTGTTGTATCGTTTAGAACTTATTCTATGTATGTATATTCGTACGATTTAAGGATTATCGCCTACTTAATAAGGATTTGAGGAGGAACGGGTCGCTCGTGTCCTTCGATCGATTCTTTGCTTCCGGAATTTGCTCCACACCTTCGATCTACCATATTTTCCAGTTATCAGATATAGTTCACACGACAGATTAAACAGTGCCAAACACGTCAATCAGTCGGATCAGTCGACCGTGCGCGAACAAATATAAACGGGGCGGATATCTTTCGATATTAACTCGATAGTTTGTTACACGAAATTTTCCTCGTCCGTCATTACAGAATATAGAAATTTAGAAATAACAGTCGCTACGGTCTAAATATGAAAGTCTCGTTTATACTTGATCGATTTTCATACACGACATCGAACGAAAAGATGCACTGACGAACGCGGCCAAAGTATACAATGTTTTGAATCGAAACGCACAAAGGAATTTTCACGAGGTTTTATTCTATCATAGACATTTTTTTCTATACATATACTATACGATAACGTTGGTTCATTTTGTACGAACGATTCACGCGATCCAGTATACATGTGCGTATATACACCTTTTTTACAACAATCTTGATTCTTTTTATACGAACGTTACTGTAATTTATAACGCAGCCAACGAACGCGAATGACTATATTTCACGAGTACAATAACGCGCAAAGATTCAAAAGGATGCAAGGTGAATTTGGTCACTTCCAGAATTTTATTTATTTCATTGTTGCATCTGCGGCAAAAGGTTGATCAATTTCTAGTCCTCGTAAGGTATAAGATCATCTAGTCAGCTGGATTTGTTTTCCTTTATTCTCTCGTTTAATTTATTGAAACCCATTTCACGCCAGTGATTTAAGTTAGTTTCTTCTTTCGTTCCTCTTCTATTTTCTGTCGCTATTCTTCGATACTTTCGAGACGTAAAACGTCGCGACGATCGCGTCAGTATTATTTTCTATTACGATCGTACAAGACGTCGGGCCTAATCAACTCCGTACCTTATGGTTTTTTCCCAATGAACGAATGACTCGAACATCAAGAAATGAAATCTTCCGAAAATCCTAGCGCTTGTTAATTGAACGATTTGTTCCGTGATTTTTATATAAGTCGTTGGGTCAAAATCCGAGATACGATGTTGAAAGGCAACGGGTTAATCGTAACCGTAAAGACTGTACTTCATTTTTAGTTTATCGTCTTGTTCTGACGCCTTTTTGTGCTCTGCCGCAGCGTTTTTTTTTTATTCTATTACTTTGTCGGTTGTCTTTTTCACGATCGACTGCGTCGATGACTCTGCTCGTTAATGCGTTCACTGCCACAGTGAAAAAGGACATATGGTGGTCAGACACGTTAAAACCTTAATTTTAAGGATACGAGTAATTAAAAGTTTGAGTCGTTATATTAAAGTTTGTCATCGCTTATTGTTTATTAATTATTCGACTAGGTTGCGTTTAAAATGTTGGTCACTGGTGACCGTGGCAGTGAACGCTTTAAAAGACGCGCGATAAGAAGAAACCGAACCATCAGATCATTCCGTTGTATTTAGCTTGTATAATTGTATAATTTTTTTAATGGACATAAAAAGAAAAAGAAAGAACGTATATATATATATAAATAGGTATACATATATAGATAGATTATATTATATTATATTATATATATATTATTATATTGTATTATATCATACTGTATTGTATGAACACAGATATATGATACGTTGAAGCTACAATTTCTCTTTGGTCGTTTTCTTTGTTTTTTTTTCTCTTTTACAAATTGTACGTAAGCTAACTTATCGCTAAATTAAGAGCTTTAACTCGATAGCTTTTTCGAAACTCGGTGCTTCGTTTTTATCGTATCTTGTTGTTTTCTAAGCTTAAAAAGAGAGAAAATCGCGTTTCGTTCGCAAAAAGATTTCATTTTCTACGCCACTTGAACGATACTGCCGCTATTATCAATTACTTCTAACATCGTACTGTGTAACATCGATTGTACGACTAACGTAACGATTGTAATACTATTTCCACTGATAATAAAATATTCTTTTGGTAAAAATGATGATGTTAAACGATGTTGGATGATCGCACGAACGTGTTCTCCCAATGATCTAATTGCGGTAGCAGTTTATTTATCGAAACATTTTTTCCCCAATTACGAAGCAAGTTACTTTATGACTAAGTCATAAGAGAGAGAGAGAGAGTAGTTACTATTACCATGTTAATTACGGTGAAATTAACGAAGCATGCACGCGTGCTTGTCATTTTCAGAATCTCGTGTGCTGTGCTAGCGACGTGCTGGAAGGAGGTCGAGGGGTAGTTCGAGTAGCGGTCACGGTTTCGGAACTGCTCAGGTTCCATCAGTCACGATCCCCGTTGCAGACTTCGTCCTCTTCGAACGTCCCGAACCACGTGCCTGCTTAGCGCCAGACAATATAATTATCAACGTACGCGTCGATCGAAAGATAAAGAAACGAACGTTGCCATTTTTTCTTCGATAATCGTCGAAGAGAAATGGATTCGCGAGTAGCTTTCCTATCTTAGGCCGCGAGTACACTCTCGTGCACGAATACCTTCCCTTGATTAAGCGAAAACAATAGAGAGGGAAGCTGGGGGTCCTTAGTATCCGGGCAAATTCAACCGCGTTGAAATGAAAACAGGAATGTTAACTACCGACCCGACTCTTTCCTCTACATTTCGCTTGAACCGAGGAATCGCATCGATGCACGCGATTATACATTGGCAAATGAGCGCTAGAACAATTGTGATATCATTGTAATGTTATACAATTAATCTGTTAGAAGATTACATCTTGAACGCTGATTCGACACGCATTTCTGACATACTAACTTTCGAACGAAGACGACCACGTTTGTTAGAGAATACTTTTCCGATCGTTTGCCAATATACTCGTGGCCTTCAGCGTTTTAACGTATCGCGTACACCTTCGATTAATTTACCTTATAAGCACGAACTCCGTTTCGATCCAGAGATCGTCTCGTGCACGAGTTAATCGAAGAAGGGATTCAATTTTCTATTTACTGTACGTGTTCGAGTATTTCGAGGTGGTTAGATCACGAAGACTCGATTAGATGTACCAAAACTTTTGTATCGAAAGGACAACGTATCTTTGTACGGAATGAAAGAATAGCGTAAAATAATTAGAGTAAAGTCGTAGTCGAGTTGAAGTATAACTCGCGAATCGAAAGGAGAATGGCTACATAGCGCGACGGTTATAAAAAGTTAATAAATATCGGGGACACTTTCTTGCGGCAATGAAAAAAGTTCCTACTCGCGTATAACCGCTGAAGTTTTTCGTTTGTTAAATGTAAGGTATACTTAGAATTACGAGGTAGGAATCAAAACGCCTGCAAATTAGGCGATTAAGCTTGTTACTTTCTCCGCCCAATCTTTCGAGCATTATCTCCGCCAAGATAATTGTTTTCGATGATCGAGAGGCAAAAGTAACGTCGACTTTTTATTATTAGGTCAGTTCATAAGTCTTCGGGTTCTTTTAACCGCGTAATAATCATATTAATTTCTCGCACAAGCGACACGCGATATATTTATATTGATTCATCGATACCACTTTTAGTAATATTTACACGCAAAGATTTATGAAATGACCCGACACGATGTGTTCACACTTATAGGATTCTCGAACTTTTTTCGTTGTTCAGTCATCTAGGTTCAGTCCTTACGAAATGTCTCCCGTATCTATTAACAGCCGTGCTTTCTAGATAAGTGGTAATCAAGAGGCGCTTCGATATCGCAACGCGCAACAATAATCGATCGATCAAAATCAAAATACTCGTGCGTTCGGAACGAAGTTGTCAAAGTTCCCTCGACGTCAAATATCCCGCAATTAATCCAATATATTCCCGTGTATCGACTGTCGTAACATCGAGCATGCACGCACCATCGAGAATCAAAATTCCTTTTAAAATTATTCCTTAGCTTTAACCGCTTGATCTTTTCTCGAAGGGAGCATTCGAAATTCCCGCCTCTTTAGTCTCGAAATGACGCGCGCGTTATCCGCAATGGGTAAAATAGATTTCCCTTCGAAGCAGTCGATAAGTTCGTTAATCAATTTTGCAAATATTATCGACGATCGATATGTCGACAAATCCTTATGCGTTTATATGAAATGAAATTTTACGCTTAGAGAATTGCGATTATTTTGTATCGTTTAATTTCGAATCACGCGTATTCGGATATCGAACTGTCTTTACTGTCGAGTGATCGATTCCAAGTGTACTGCCAAGATTTAGTAATAATTCCCGAAACGATAACCCCGTTAGGTGCTAAGCGCAATATTGTTAGTTGTAATTTTCTGTGTCGTCGCAAACTTCGATTTTCATTTGCCCCATTTTATCCCTCTTTAACGCTTTGACTGCCACGTCCGCTTTCACTTATTTCTAACAGATATTTAGTTCGTTCTGTTGTCTGTACTTTCAAGTACTTAGCTAGATTACGTACAATCGGGTGAGTAAGAAAGTTCCTGATGAAAAATATGGACGACGAGTGGCAGTCAACGTGTTGACCCTTTCGCTGCGAACGACGTATACTTACGTCCTCGAAAACTGATCTATAAAGGGCATGTACGAATGATTATCTGTCGAGACACCGAATTTGTACGAATTCACGATAGGGCAGAAATTCTTCCGCAGGAAACATTCGAGTAAGCAGCGAGTCAATTATGTATCGAGTCTCAGCGGTAGATTTAAGACTATAAAACTATAGCGAAGGGAATGTCGCAGTGAGAGGGTTATGAATATGATTGTGTAAAAAGAAAGACGAAGGATCTCATGCGTGGTGATCGATAAGGACTCGAGCGTTTTATGTTTCGGTGTCTTGTTGACTAATTTTCTTTTCAACCCTTTGACCACAAGTCAAAAAGTCTTGAAGTAAATCTTACACTACTCTTTACTTTTACCTTTGGTACTTTGCGTTACTATTTCGCGTGCTATTTATGTAGGCTCGAAGTATTTCTCTCGTACAAAGTTTATACTACTGCCTTTATATTTTTCGGAAAATTGTTTAAAAGCTTTTAATCAAAGGGTTAAAATTACACTACCGATTCTGAAGTCGACGAGACACCGATCGTGTAGGATCATACCGTGTATTCATATTTATTGTGCCAAAGATTGTATGCGTTATCTTTTTTCTCTATCTCTTTTTAGGTAAGCAACAATATTTTTGAACATTCGAAATCTTTAAGAGGAAAAGAAACGCTGTTTCATTTAATAATGACCGCATTTCCTTCGCGTACGAGATCTGGACACGTCGGTAACGATGGCTACAGTCGGTAACTAGGGTGATTGTTGGTCAGTCGGGCAACTGTCGGTAACTATGGCTACGGTCGGTAACTATGGTTACGGCCGGTAACTCGAGCAGTCGTCGGTAAGTCGGACGACTGTCGGTAACGGTGGCATCAGTCGGTAACTAGAGCGGGCGTAGGTAAGTCGGGCGACTGTCGGTAACAGCGGCAACAGTCGGTAACTAGAGTGACCGTCGATAAATCGATAATCCTTTCTCGGTACGAGACTCGAGAATTGTTACCGACGCGTCTGGATCTCAACCTACAGGAGGGAGCAGAACCAGTGTCATTTATGTCTTCTTTTCGGTAACATTTATTTTATCCCACAAGCACTTTTTATTCACACGTACAAGTGTAATTTTGTATTAGTCGCTCAAAACAATTGCGATCATGAGTTTCCAAACTAAAATTTGCTGTTGAAACGATCGGCCACCGTTTGAAATGTTTCGATCGACATTTCTGTAACAATATAAGTTAATTGTCCCACCGATGCAGTTTTCGTGCAGAAAGTCAAACAAAGAGTTCGTTACGAGTGCGAAGGTGACTTGTTCTAAATTTATGTTTCTCGAAATAAGATCGATTCGTTTCAAACGCTCATTCGCTCGATCGATACCTAAAGAGTACATCGCACGTAATATATTTAAAGATTAACGGATACAGTGTATAAAATAAATCGAGAAAATTGTCGTACATCCGAGTTTATGTTTTATGAAATGTCTACAACTTTTCCTACTTCTTGTTAGAACATCAAAGTATTATAACCTTCAAACTATTAACTAGTCATTCTTGTTATCTAAAAATTTTTATTTTTACAGCGTTATCGGTATCATAACGAAATATCCAGAATACGAAGACAAGGCCTAAGCGTTTTGGAATAATTCACTGGAGGAAAGTAAAATTCGATTCAGTCTTGGTTCGACGTCTCAGGAGAATGGAATTCTGCTCCGCCTTGTGTTCCTATCACCCCTTCTACCGATCGTTGCTTTTAACGTAAGTCATGTTTTACACATTCACCCGTATTACTTTCTTTTGCATATGTATAATAAGCAATTCGTTATTTTCATTACCTTTTCAACACCTTACGCATCTCGTAATTACCATTATTTTACATATCTCAGTCTCTCGCGTTTCATTTTCTACTTTTTCTTTTTTAATATTTTTTGCGCTCGTTTGAGCAATTTCACAATATATCAAGATCTTTTATTTATGCATGCACAAAACGTTTTTTATATAGTCAATTGCAATAATTATTATTATCTCTAATTTTTAGCACTTTGCTGAGAGGTGACAACACATAGTCAGATGTGATCTTGGACGCTACGCTACTTCAGATTCTCAACCTTCAAGTCAACCCAATAAATCTTCCATATTTATACAGCAATAAAACTATGAAATATATAATTATGTATTATTAGTGCATATGTAAGTTGTACGAACAAAGAACTTTAAATAAATATGAAATAAAAGGAAACAAACAGCGTAATTATTTAAAAACCTTTCCAAAGATTCCATAATCCAAAACAAAATCCACTTTTCCTAATTCCTACAAATGACGTCATATTTCAAGAAACGGCACTTTGAGTAACTTTTCGACAATTACATTTTTTTAGACACAAAGTACAAATTTTGAGTGTGTCGGTTATTAAAAAAATTCTTGGAATATGACGTCATTAAAATTCCAAGAAATGGCACGAATACCTCCTCATACTTCATGTTCTCCTGATACCAAAATTCAATTTCGATCATTGCGATTTTGAAAACTGAATTTTTGAAAAATTCTTGGAATGTGACGTCATCAAAATTCCAGGAAGTGGCACGAATACCTCCTCACAACTCATGTTCTCCTGATACCAAAATTCATTTTCGGACTTTTCGATTTCGATTTGCAAAATTCTTGGAAAATGACGTCATCAAAATTCCAGGAAGTGGCACGAATACCTCCTCACAACTCATGTTCTCCTGATACCTAAATTCATTTTTGGATTTTTCGATTTCGATTTGAAAAATTCTTGGAAAGTGACGTCATCAAAATTCCAGGAAGTGGCACGAATACCTCCTCCCAACTTATGTTCTCCTGATACCAAAATTTATTTTCGGATTTTTCGATTTCGATTTGAAAAATTCTTGGAAAATGACGTCATCAGAATTCCAGGAAGTGGCACGAATACCTCCTCACAACTTATGTTCTCCTGATACCAAAATTCATTTTCGGATTTTTCGATTTCGGTTTGCAAAATTCTTGGAAAGTGACGTCATCAAAATTCCAGGAAGTGGCACGAATACCTCCTCACAACTCATGTTCTCCTGATACCTAAATTCATTTTCGGATTTTTCGATTTCGATTTGCAAAATTTTTGAAATGTGACGTCATCAAAGTTCCAGGAAGTGGCACGAATACCTCCTCATACCTCATGTTCTCCTGATACCAAAATTCATTTTCGGACTTTTCGATTTCGATTTGCAAAATTCTTGGAAAATGACGTCATCAAAATTCCAGGAAGTGGCACGAATACCTCCTCATACTTCATGTTCTCCTGATACTAGATTTTGGGTAACGATATGGAATTCCAGAAACGAGTAATGTTATGTCGGGGAATTTGGATTTGAGTGGGTGTTGAAATGAATACGCAATGTGTTTCATTTTGCTTTTCTTTATTTTTATCTTTTTTCTACACAAAACATCTTAACTGATCTAATTACAGTACTATACGAAACGCAACATACGCTGTACAATTAACGCTGTGTTACAACTAACGTATTGCTTGTAATAATAACATATTAACGACATAAAATATTAACTATCCTAAATGTTTTACAATTCTGCTTATTATAACTTATAAAAATAATTGCATCGTGACATATGCACTACATGTTCGATACATTACATCGAGTCGCGTATGAATATTAATAAAAATGATACAATACATTAGAAAAAGTAACACGCACAACATTTCATTCACGCTGTCACACGCATACAACTTCGAGTCGATGCATCTTCTCGTTGCACTCCGTCTTCGCTTGATGCACTCCGTAGCTGCTTGCACGTCTGCAATAAAGACAGAAATTATTAACGTAAGTATGCAAAGAAAAATGGCGAATGGAAAATTTGATCAAAGCGACAGTAACTTTAGAGAATTTACGACCGCGCGTGTATTAACTAAACAGAGTCTACTAATAAGATTATGCATGATACGGCATAAATGCGCGCGGCGAGATCGCTAATTTCTAAATTGTAATTGACTAATCCAAGACGAAGCGGAAATAGTATTGGGTTGTCCGGAAAGTTCGTGTCGATTTTGAGGGGAATTGAAACGCAGCTCATTTAAATTTGGTACAAATTTATCAAATTATATAGGTGCCATTCTGTTCTATAACCTTTCTCCATCTTTTATGCAACTTGAGAAGTCCTTCCAGGACGTCTCAGGCTTTTTAGTGAAAAATTATTCTCAATAAAATTTCGTGCTGCCTACCGAAAATCGGCACGAACTTTCCGGACAACTCGATATAAAGGATAACGATGCGTTCCGAGTGGGGTCATCGAGCAGCTAACGCAATGGCCGATGAAAATTAAATCGAGCAGAACAGTTTATTTGATTATCCGCAATGAAATATTCCTACGCTCGTAGAAGCGTCGTTTTTCGAGTGACAAGAAAATTTCCATAACCAGAAAACCAAGTCGGAAGATTCTGGTTCGAATAACCGCGATCGCGTGGATCGAGCTCGGATAACCGCGGTGGAAAGGACGTGGGTGGACCACGATAGGCGGAGTTGCGAGCTCGAGAAAACTCCATTTTGTTCGAGGAAGGCGGTCTCTGGATGTTTCACCTTCCCCTCTACCAGGTGTAACCCACCTTTCCACACGATCCGCACCAGGTGGAGGGAACTCGAACGCGAACATTGCCGAACAGGAGTTCGCGATACGCGTGTGCTCGCTGCTGTCCGCTTCTCGTCTCTCTACTTGTCGTCGCGTACCGCCTTTCTCACCTGTTCCAGTCTCTCCTCGTCAGATTAATCGCGATCGTGTCAACAGTGTCGTACCCCGCTAATGATTCTACAATTTCTGAATCATGCTCGGTGACCTTTCAGTGTCGACGACTGTCAACGTTTCGCTAACCGTACTAGAAACTCGATCGATCGGATAACGACGATCGATGGACCTCGAGACGCAACGAAATTGCGAACAGTGATTATTCCCGGAAGGGGGAAATGTGACGTTCGGTGAACCGTCGACGAGTGCCTAACAAGTTGCATCGTTCGGTGAACGTCGATTGTCGAAACGGAGATTGCCGTAGAGACGAAGGACGATCGATTATCGTTCGTCTATGACAGGAAACGTGACGTTCGGTAAACAATCGACGAATATTTTTTGAGAAACTCGAGCAAATGTCGAATCGCGCGGGGATGCAGTGATCGAGGAGACGAAGGATCAATCGAAAAGAACGAAAGATGCAGCGATCGGACGTGCGAAGATAAAGAAGCATTAATAACGGTTGAAAGAGTCTTACAGCTTTTCGAGAGCGAAGAGCAAGCTTGTCAGCTAAATTCAGGAGTTGCAAGGCTGATCAATAACGGGAAATCAAAGTTACGCGAGTAAATTCCTGGCGGAGCAAAGTCGAGGAGTAAACACAATAAGAAACATCAACGAAGGATTAACTCGATCACAAGTTCATTGATATTTCCAGGTAACGCGATATACACACGAGTATCTCCCGATCTCCGTGTTGTTTGATCGAGCGAGCATAAATCGATTACCGTTCAGTTTGCGATGATACGCGTCGCTGATAACGATAACGCGCCAGCATTCCCCGGTAGAATCGCGAAAGGACATCGACGAGCCAGTCGGACGCTCGTTGATTAATCGATTCAGGCTATTATCGAAGCCTTCTCGACCAAATTTGCCGGATAAGTATCGAGCTTCCGGTGCGACGCGATCAGAATATCGTAGCTCCAAGCTTCATTGAGAAAACGGACAGATAAGGGGATTAAGAGGAGAGATATCGGAGCGGTGGTATCGATCGAGAAACTGTATCGATCGTGCAGCAAATGCTACTCGAACTTTGGCTTCCTAAGAGGAACTCGACGACGCGTTTTCGAACTCGAAAGCGGCCGATATTCCGCGTCGCGAATTAAGGGCACGAATCGTCGATGAAAAATCGCTCGATCAGGAGGATGAAGAAGATCTGCGCGACGAGGAGGATGAAGAAGATGGCGCGATTCGAGCGCGTACTGTGAGAACGCGCGTTTTGTTGCTCCGGCTTCTGCTCCTCTCTCGATCCGCTTTCGGCTCGAAGACACGCGATGGATCTTAGCACGACGCCGAGAAGAGCGACGGACGGAGTGGGCGATCTTCAGAAAACGAGGGTCGCGAAGAGCGTGTTCAGTATCAGGAGTCTGGTCGACGTCGAGGAGGCGGAACTTCCGGCGACCGGTATCGAGGATGTTGACGGATCGCACAGTGAGTTCTTTTATTTCTATCGTCACGAAATTTCGCTTCGAAACCGATATTCTGCTATTAATCGATACAAACGTACGCTCCTAAATATGTAATTCCAGGCCTATCGAAACATGTGACACATGTATCAATCACGGGCAGCGTTTAATTACTACGCGTAATTTACCGCGAGTAAGACAGATATCGATAACACCCGACGATCGGATATAATTAATCGTATCGATCAACGCGATAACGATTCTCCGTACTTGCGAACTCGCAAATAATTATTGGTTAAAATTATTATACTTACAACGTCGTATTAACTTTTCGAAGTTAGTTAAACTTCTAGTAAGTGCATGTAGTCGCGTTTCGAACATTTTTAATTAGAGCAGATTACGAGGCTCGCGCGTAGATAACGTTAAACTGTCGGAAACTATCGCTTCGTAGTAAAATAATGTATTAACCCCTTCCCGTGCCATTTATTTATCAGATGCGTCAGTCAAGACTAACTAATCAGGGCTATAATATTAAACCGAACAAAGAAAATTAAAATGTGCGCATTTTATATTCAGGGATCCTTGATAATGCAACTTACAGCTGCACCTAAATTTCAAGTTAAAGAGTATTCAAAATTTGAGTAAGGTTTGTCACATTTGAGAAGTGAATGCGTCACGAGTCAGACTCGCCAAAGCACGGGAAGGGGTTGAAAGCGTTAGGCGAATCGCAAATTTTAGCAAATTTTCATGAGGGTAGCGAAATCGTTGATAAGCGTATCATTTGATCGGTCCCAGTGTCGTCGACGACAATAACCGATCACCGAACGATTCTCTTTCGGGACGATCCAGAGCCGAAAGATCATCGAAAATCGATCCGTGCGATCGCGATTTCCACGAACGGATCGAGCCCCCGTTCGACATTCCACGATCGAGAAACGCCCGTTCGAGCGAACTTTTTTGCGACCGTGTGCCTTTTGTGCACGAGTGCTTCGGCAAGGAACAACCAGTCCTTGTAGAGCAATCGAGTCAATTAAGGCTCACTTATGCTCGGTAAATTGCGATAAGACGACGATTAAGTTGAAATTAGTTCCCTGGCCCCCCTCCGTGGACCCGGCAAAAAGTGTATCAATGTCGTTATTGCCGACACGTATCGAAGCTAAATTAATACCCGTTCCCGACCCTGCCAATTAAACGTAACGCGAAACGAGCAGCCTTTCTTTGCGCGATCGGCGGCCTCGCGATCCCCGACGATCGATCCTCGATCATCGAAACGATGACTCGAGATTACGCTCCTGCAGAAACAAATAGTGGGAACATTTTTTTATCACTTTTTCGCGGGAGTCGAGCAATCCTGCTAATACACGAAGCGAACCCTATATCGCAAGTTTCACCGTGTTTTTTGCATTTTTTTTTCTGTCGGGACGATCCAAAAGCGAAAACGCGGCCGAGTTTCTGTAATAGTTGGTCGATATGCAAAATAGTCGTGCAACGTTGACGATAACTCGCATTACGAGACTTTCCTCTCGGAAAATAAATAGCAAATCACCATTTAGCCAGAGACGATAAACCGAATTCCACGGACGCAGCGTATCACCTCGTTATCGGGTAATTAACAAGATAGCGCGTCGATTAAGGAATTACATAGGCGGGCTCGTCGACGGGACAGGGTCGCGTATCGATTCTCGCGATCGCGTCATGTTATATCCGAGAGATCGGTACGACACTGTTCGATTCGATTTCGATAATTCCTCGATGCCCGGAGAAACCGGAGGCGAGCTCAAAAGAGATGCAATTTTACTAATAATGCGTCACGAGTCAGACTCGCCAAAGCACGGGAAGGGGTTGAAAGCGTTAGGCGAATCGCAAATTTTAGCAAATTTTCATGAGGGTAGCGAAATCGTTGATAAGCGTATCATTTGATCGGTCCCAGTGTCGTCGACGACAATAACCGATCACCGAACGATTCTCTTTCGGGACGATCCAGAGCCGAAAGATCATCGAAAATCGATCCGTGCGATCGCGATTTCCACGAACGGATCGAGCCCCCGTTCGACATTCCACGATCGAGAAACGCCCGTTCGAGCGAACTTTTTTGCGACCGTGTGCCTTTTGTGCACGAGTGCTTCGGCAAGGAACAACCAGTCCTTGTAGAGCAATCGAGTCAATTAAGGCTCACTTATGCTCGGTAAATTGCGATAAGACGACGATTAAGTTGAAATTAGTTCCCTGGCCCCCCTCCGTGGACCCGGCAAAAAGTGTATCAATGTCGTTATTGCCGACACGTATCGAAGCTAAATTAATACCCGTTCCCGACCCTGCCAATTAAACGTAACGCGAAACGAGCAGCCTTTCTTTGCGCGATCGGCGGCCTCGCGATCCCCGACGATCGATCCTCGATCATCGAAACGATGACTCGAGATTACGCTCCTGCAGAAACAAATAGTGGGAACATTTTTTTATCACTTTTTCGCGGGAGTCGAGCAATCCTGCTAATACACGAAGCGAACCCTATATCGCAAGTTTCACCGTGTTTTTTGCATTTTTTTTTCTGTCGGGACGATCCAAAAGCGAAAACGCGGCCGAGTTTCTGTAATAGTTGGTCGATATGCAAAATAGTCGTGCAACGTTGACGATAACTCGCATTACGAGACTTTCCTCTCGGAAAATAAATAGCAAATCACCATTTAGCCAGAGACGATAAACCGAATTCCACGGACGCAGCGTATCACCTCGTTATCGGGTAATTAACAAGATAGCGCGTCGATTAAGGAATTACATAGGCGGGCTCGTCGACGGGACAGGGTCGCGTATCGATTCTCGCGATCGCGTCATGTTATATCCGAGAGATCGGTACGACACTGTTCGATTCGATTTCGATAATTCCTCGATGCCCGGAGAAACCGGAGGCGAGCTCAAAAGAGATGCAATTTTACTAATAAAGTGTTAACTAGTCGTTCGGAAATTACGAGCGCGTTATCTGGAATACACCGCGTTGCCTTATCGCCGCTTCGTTCCTTATTTTCTGCGTATATGTATATTTATGTAATTACGAGTGTGTTTCAAAAATAAAAATACCAATGTTTCAAGCGTTTATGGCGCTCCGAGTAAATTGTAAATACTCTATTCGTTATCTGCGTATAAATATGAAAATATTTCAAAGCGAACTGGACTCGCCATGTTTACATCGGTAAGCCAACAACGACGACAGAATCGAAGGGTAAATTCTGTCCAATGAGATTGGTCGTATCATGCGAAGGGGATAGTTGCCGTTCGATTGGCTCGAACGAGCAAGGGTCATCGAACGGGGGGTGGTTCTATCGGCAGATTCGGCCACCCTCGATAACCGAACGTCGGGGTGGATCTCTATTTCGACTCCCGATTCGCGAAAGCGCGAAAACTCCCTCCGATTGGTTTTAAACGCTCCTAAAGGTCGCGAATCACGCGGAGATCGAAAGCTTCCGGTGGCGGGTGGTAACAACGAGCTAGTTGATTGCGCGAAGCAAGAACTGCCCTTCCCCGAATAACTCGCGCGCCGTCAAAGTCATAAATAACCGGCGCCGGAGTTTTACGCGCGCGGACACGATAGAGGAGCGCGGAACCCGGTGATTGGCCGGTCCGGTAGAACCTCGCTAATTGTGTTTTATTAGCCGACATGCATCCGCGAGCCTCGCTAACTAACTAACCTCCTAAACGACATTGTTATTAAGAGTCCTTACAATGTAGCTAACCCACACACGATCGTTCGCGCTCCCTAACCTTCGTTGCGCCTCGTTAAGGGCTGTTACGACGACTCCGTGTTGTCGTCGAGCCTTTGTCGACTCTTCGTGGCCGCGATGCTCCTTCAACCCTTTGCTGGCATAACCATAACGATTCCAGGAACGCGTCGCACCGTCTTTCCCGTTTCGATACGAACGAGCTATCGCTTACAATTAGTATATCGCTTAGAAATATCGCGATCGACGAAACGCGAAGAAAAGTCGAAGGAGGCGGAGACGAATTCGTCGATTTCTTTTTTCGTACTCCCGCTGGCAGGAGGCCGAGCAGAAGAAGAGACGGAGAACGAAGAGGGGAGAAAGAGCGTAAAAGGGGCGAGGGCAAGTCTTATTACGGCGAAGCGGAGTCGAGCATGCTGGTGCAATCAAATAAATTAGCCGGAATTACGCGACTCGCGAACCGATGCTAGCGTAGGCGCTCGTCCTCGGCCACCAATTAGCAGAGCTTTATCCCGCTCGTGGTCCTCGAGCATATTTCACCCGGGGCCAGTTTTACCCTATCGCTTTCCGAGAAATTCGTGCCCCTTCTCTACAACTTTCGACCGATTTTCGTGCGCGTCCATCTTCATATTCGCGAATCGTTTAAACGGAAAATAATACGCTGCCTGCTCTGACGAAAAATAAATAGACTGCACGGTTTTTGTACGTTACGAAATTTTCTTTCTACGACGTACACGTTTCTTGCGTTACGGAGAGCAAATTCTTGGTCTTTTTGCTCGTTCCGTTCTACCATCGAGTAAGATGGATAAGCTCCTCCCGCCTTCGTGTACTGTTTTTCTGTTCGTTCTATTTTACAATCGAGTATTAGTCGAGTAATGCGCTTTAATGGGCCACGTTCGGAGAATGGATGAACGTAGCGTTCAGGTTCGCGTTCACGGACCAACTCGTTCAATTAATCCCTTCGTGAGCACAGCATCCGCCTGTGCTCGGAATTAATGACGTCGTTTCGTTTGAAGGAGGAAAGTTTCTCCCGTAAGTTAACTAATTTCGAAGCTGCGGAGACTTTAACGCCTGCTTGGGACGTTACGCGCCGCGCGGATCGAGTAACTGTGATATGCGTCTCGAATTTTTGCGTTATTTTCGCGTTACGGAAGGGATTGTCGTCGATAGTCGATTACTTTCTGTCGGAAAGGTCTACATATGTATAATGAAGATATCGCGCTGGGAAAGCAGACTATTTAGGACAGGGAAGTTCGGGTGAAATCGAGGGTATAATCGAGGGTGAAACGGAGGGATAGAGAGATCGGTTGCG